CATGTTTATCTCATGCACCGAATTCTTTGCTATCAAAAAGCTACTGTATATTTAACTCATCAATGCCTATTTCTTTAGCCCTTGGCTCTGTTCTGAGTGCTTCGGCAGCCCAACTCAGTCGTCCCGAACATGAGCTCTGCGGACCCTCGACTTCCTCAGATCCCTACTGCCACAACTTCGGTATCGCCAGCCCGACTATGTCCAGCCAACCTACTGGAACAGTTAGTCGGCAGTTATCTACATGTGGTCTCGTTTGTCCCACACGGGTCTCCGAAAAGATCCAGCAACTCGTGAACACTCTTCAGCGTCCTAAAAGGCGACCTCTACCGGAATACTTCATTGATGAAGATGATCAAGTGCTCGTTCAGCCGGTTCAAGATCCCAACGCTCCATGCCCTCGCGGAGCACCGACTGAGCCCCTTGTCGGCGAGAAGCTAGTGGTGCGTTACTGTTGTCCGCTTGTAATCCTTCCTTTGGCATCTGCATGGTGCATATACCATTAAATTCAAACTGCGATTGTTTCCTAACCTTTTGCCTTTTGATTGCGTCAGTGGACTTTAGTTAACGTTGGACAGGATTATCCTATCTTTCGATTTTAAGTCACATTGCCTCACCAGTTATCGTTGTCCAGAGTCACCGAGCGTTGGTACAGAAATACAGGCATAGGTAAGACAACTTCAGTTGTTCCTAAACTTTCAGTTTGACTGTCTATCATTTACTTCACAGCATGATAGCGCAGAGACGGTAACTTGTGCAGCATTTACGGCACTCTACTCCAACCTAAGCCCAATTTCATGATAGGGAGCTATAATGACCAAGTCACGAAGACCAAAGGAGGAAGAGGGCTCAGGTGCCTGACGTGACGTGAATCCGTATGTAGTCATATCTACCGTCACCTCCCGTGTTTGGTATTTGGTTTCGCATCTCAAGTAGCATATACAGTGCGCCGAATTGGCCTTCGTGTTTGTCCAGCACCTCTAACGTGTGACCCGGTGTAGGTG